GTGTGTGTGTGTGTGTGTGTGTGTGCGTGTGCGTGCGTGCGTGTGTGTGTGTGTGTGCATTTTGAAAATGTACACTTCTGGAGCTGTTAAAGAGTTCAGTTCAAGTCTGACCAAAGTTATAAACCTCTTTACATCCTCGACTGTCCCGGGATGTTTGTGTATTTGAATGCACAAATCTTAGGGAACATATTTGAGTCTGGCTTTCATCCAACCATACATCTTGATGTATGCTCAATCATCATTCAGTCATTATGCAAATGTACTGTTTATAAGACGAAATGTTTCTCCTGCTGAAAAGCTACGTCCAGATGAACAGAATCAACTTTTGGGGGCATCATCCATCCATCTTCTGTTGCTTATCCAGCAGGTCTTGCAGGGTCAGGATTCTAATCACAGCTCCTCCGGGGGGACACTGAGGCATTCCCAAGCCAGCTGAGAGGCATCATCTCTCCAGCCTGTCCATTCTGTTTTTGGCCTCCTCCCAGTTGAACATGCCCAAAGGCAAACTACCTCAATCAGCTCCTTTGTGAAAGATTTAGGTGTACTTTGAATTCCTGCTGAATGATCAAGCTGCTCATTTTGGTACCTCGTATCCAGAGCTCCTTCGGTCACAACCCTGAGCTCACGGCCACAGTTTAGGCTGACTTCATGCTAGCACTCTGCCCTTCTCTGGCTGAGAACCGTGGTCTCAGGCTTGAAGATGCTAATGCCCTCTGAGCTCCAAATTGTTCCACTGTACGCTGAAGGTCATCGTTTGATGAAGCCAAGAGAAAAACCAGGTCACCCACAAAAGGAGATCCTAAGAACATCCATCTTAGCTGAGTTGCTGTTTTGAGTCTTTTGGTTCAGCTTCCATTATTATTCTGGTATTTTGTGAGTTTTATTTCTGGTGAATGGACTGCTTCTTATTTAATGCTTTTCTACTCTGAGCACTTTACACAACGTGTTCATTCACTTTTTCTATTCTTCTAACAATCACACACATTCACACTCCGATGGACGCATCGGAGAGCAACATGGGGTTAGCATCTTGCCCAAGGATATTTGTAGACTGGAACAGACTGGGATTGAACCAACAACCATCCAGTTAGTATGTGACCTGCTAACTGGATAGTTGCTGCTCTCCACCAAACGTACGCTGGCCAGTTTTCACACATGCACTGCAGCCGTGAGTTTTTCTCAGCTGGCAGACGAACTGCACCAGCCTCACTTTAACTCATGGCTCATTCTGTAGGAAGCATCTTTTAGTTACGTACTTTACTCATCAGTAAGAATCGTGGATGATGTTAGCCGTCTTATTGCATGCTACTCAACAGCAGATGGATTTGTGCGTGTCAGTGTTTCAACATTTCACTCGATTGATCTATTAAAGCTTGGATTTGTAGCAACAAGTTGACCATTCACATCCTGTCTTCCAAACCAAGCACATTTCTTTAAAAGGAAAATACGTCTTCTGATGCTTGAAGTAATGATACTTTTATTGGATACTTAACCTTCCATCTGTAAGAGGAAAAAAATAAAAGGATTAATAGCCACACCCTCATGCTCACGGTCAGTATGAATGTTCAAACAGCTGATAAGGGGCTTTCAGTGTGGTGAAATGCAGGAAGTGCAGAGCAGGAAGTGATTTCATTTAAACACACAGCACACAAACTGTCAGTCCTACACCGCCTGTGTGACATCACAGCAGTATTTAGACAGTTAATGTCCTCCTAAGAATTTCTTTCTCAGTATTCATCATTCAATTCAATTCAAATATCGACGCTACGTCTCTGTAAAATAGTGTGTTTCAGTGAAGCTGTAAACTTATGCCACATTCCAGACACCTCTGAACTCGGATGTCAGAACTTGTCACTCCTCAGTTAACACATTCCAGAAAAAGTGTGGAACAACAGGATCTGCTTTGGTTCTTTGGAAGGTAGAGAATACAAGACATCATCAACCACAGAGGCTGTGAAAACAGAAAACCTGAGTGTGCAGCCAGCAGAGGAAGTAAACAGCTTCTTCACCCGCTTTGAAACACCACAACAGCAGCGCTCATCTGCCTCAGCCCTGCTCCCATCCTCATCCTCACCTTCCTGCACCGCTCCATCACTGTAACGGAGCACGATGTCAGACGTGTGCTCCTAGCAGTGAACCCCAGGAAGGCAGCCGGTCCAGACGGAGTACCTGGCAAGGTACTAAGAGCGTGTGGCCACCAGCTCACCCTCATCTTCACCAGACTCTTCAACCTCTCACTGGATGAAGCAGCCATCCCATCCTGTCTAAAATCAGCCACAATCATCCCAGTACCGAAGACGTCTTCCATCACCAGCCTGAACGATTACCGCCCTGTGGCCCTCACGCTGGTGATCATGAAATGCTTCGAGAGACTAGTCCTTCAGCACATCAAGGATTACCTCCGCCCAGAATTCGACCCGCACCAGTTTGCATACCACGCAAACAGATCCACAGAAGACGCCATCGCCCTGCATCACGGTATGCTACGGCAGCTGCACTAAGGCTGACAGAGCGAGGATTCAGAGTGTAGTCAAGACACAAAAAAATCATCGCTCAAAGCTGTGAGTCAACAGAAGCTGAACAGCTGCAGACTAGTTAAGTAGGACTATCAGACCAATGAATTCCAAAAGAGTGCATCACAATTTCCTGCTCAGCTGGATGTGAATCTGTAAGGAAAACTGGAACGACGCTGTTAAATACAGACACGGTGGAGAAAACGTGACGTATCTAATCTATAAAGGTGCCCATTAGTGCCGCCTTGGCCTGGGTTACCTTCCCTCCACTCATTCATACATGTGCCTACAGTGTGCATTACTTCACACAGAAACATCCCAGCTAAAAAATAAGAACACCTGCTGGCAGGTAACGACCAGCCGCCCTGCTGCCAGCCCTTATTCAATTAGAAAGGCCACATTGCCTGTCACAGCACCTCCCTGTGGTTACATATAGAACTGCGCAGGCTGTCGCAGCTTTTAGCAAACATGCTGCACCTTTGTGACAATTTATTTCCTCTGTATTTACATTTTCTCATATCCCACTTTTTGTCCTGATAATAGACTACTGTCTACACAGCCCTCCACCAAATCTCAGCATACGGCCGTTCTTTCTGATTCTGGAAGAACTGTTAAAGCACATATTATCATGTACAGTTAGGAAGAGCAGATCCCAGCAAACTAACTACGGAGCAAGGAAGAGTATGTCTGCGTTGGACACATTAATAATGCTGACACGAATCTACAAACTCTGCAGGACAGATATTCAGTATTTTATCTGAGGACAGTTTTCTAATGCTGGAAGCAAAAGTGTTTAGGATGTCACGTGTCCTGTATTGTGTCCTGTATCCGCTCTGTAATCGTATTTGTGCAGATTTATTAATCATGTTCAGGTCCACACGATTTCTGTGAGACTCTGCTAAAGACAATCAAATGTGGGGCACAGTGTCTGAGGGTGGATCACACTGTGTATGTCCACCTCAGACACGGTCACCATGGGAAAGGGTCTGACTTTTAACTCTCTGTGACGTAAAAGCCTGCGACGAGCCGTCTGCGTAGATTTTGCGTGTTTAACGTCAGCGGTGAGTTCTGCCTGACTCTGGCTCAGCTGTCCTGGAAAGTGAAAGCAGTGCAGAGGGCCTCAGGGGCCATCGGGGGCCGGAGGGTGTGGGGGTTGGGTGCATTCCCGCCGACAAACAAACCAGCTCCTTAACGGCCAAAAAGCACGTGACCAAGCGTCCTCCACAAGAAACAGTCTCGTGACCTTTCGGGTAACAGTGTCGGGGGCCCCTTTAAGACTCTGTGACAGGATGACGGCAACGAGGTGAGAGCAGAGCGCGCGCAGCATCACGACGATCCCCACAGGAAGGACAAAGAGGAGGAGGAGGCGTGCCACACGATGGGCGCGTCATTAACGCACGGGCTCGTGCTGATGTTTACGATGACAGAGGCGTGAGACGTTAAACCTGCAGGACTAGTTAGTCTGTGACAACGAGGACCGGCCTCTCCGCTCCGCCCAGCACCGCCTGGCTGGCTCCACGCTGCCTGAGCGGGCAGAGACACGCACCGTGGCTGCATGCAGCAGGCACGGAGTCATAACACACAAACAGATATTGCGACGCGGTGAGCCACGAGCAGATCTGCGGGATGATGAACGGAGAGCGGATCGCAGCAGCCGGAGGAGACACGCCGGGGGCCGCGGGGAGGACGCGCCGGTTCCAACGGCCGCACGGTGAGTGACGGGCACGCGTGCACGCGCACTGCGCATGACCGGGATGTAAGATAGCAGCCTGGTTATGTAATAAAACACACACACACACACACTTCCTCTTATTTCATTCATTCCCGCAACACACTGTGTGCGCGTCACTGTGACGCAAACTGTGGATAATATCATTGATTAGCGGGCAGAGGGCGTGATCATCATCATCATCATCATCATCAGGAATACTGTTAAAGCCAATCAGCGTGCGCGCGCACACACACATTATATAAGGACTGCGATATATCGGGCCTGCTGTGAGCGCGCATATATGTCACAGCGCGCGGTCTTTGAGCTGCTGTCAGGCATGTGCTGGGTGGTGCTGCTGGTTTGATAAGACACGACCCGCGTGGGGAATGGAGTCCAGGGAGCAAAGCGCGCACCCCATGCGACGGCGGCGCGTGCGGTGTGAGAGCACAGGTGAGGTTTGTTTCCCTCATTCAGAGAAACGCACCGCTGACCTCCCCCAGGTCGCACACGTGACTCGTTTTTGGCGAAAACACCTGAAGTCTGGCTCGATGGTCACGTGAAGTGAGAGCCAATGCAGGGCCGGATCCGCTGTCTGAGAGGCCGCGGGCAGAAATCCGAGAGTGGGCACCTTTTAATGCTGGAGGAGTGGACGACTTTGAGCCTGCGGGGTGGGGAGCGCGTGCTCGCACGGCCACTCTTATTTTTACAAAAACGCAGCCTGACCAGCAGCAGGTCCTGTCTTTGGACTCTTATCAATGTGTAAGCGAGGGATGTTCTGCAGTGTGGTGGCGTGGCTACAGCTCACTGCATGGTCAGCATGTCTGGGCCTTAATCGCCACCGTGTCAGTGCTGGGTTTCACTCCTGTGATAAGAAGCAAATATGTAGTTGAGAGCAGGATCTTCTGCAGTACGTCGTGCGGTCAGGCCTGACTAACGGTGACTGATGTACGCCGTGCTCTTTTAAACTTCGGGCCGTTGTCATGTATAAAACCAACAGCAGGCTGTAGCATGCTGCTCGTGTCTAAAAATATAGTAAAATTGAAATTTCCTGCATGGTTTTGGCTTCACTTCAGTTAATGACGACAAAGTTCACGTCCCGGCTCGGCTGCAGGGAGGTCTTTCCACTCTGAGGTCTGTTTGGTCAGCCTGTGGCAGCTCGTGTGTGACTGGCGCTCTGTGATGGTTTCTGTCGTGTTGACATGATTCAATCTCGCTCCGAGCCGTCTGTGACGTGTGCAGCGCTTTTAAAAGACGTGTTTATGTTGAGCTGAGTATAGCAGTGAATGCTTGGCTGCTTTGCTCTGTCGTGGCTGTAACTTGGGTGGGTTTCTTTTTTAAACTAATAAATGTGACTTTTGTCCACTCCGAGCTGATAAAATTCCCGAAGGCATTTTTGGTCAGTTTTCAGTCCTGACTAAAAACACAGACACACTGCATGCCTTTCACACAGCTTCCTTTCATGAAGGAAGGAAGAGGCATGAAGACAACAATGCTTCACTGGTTTTTACTGAAATCTGACTTGTGGATGGATTCAGTTTGTGTCCATGTCAGTCATTTAGAAATAATCAGGCGGAGCATCTTTGCCGTGTTGGGTGTAAACCACTAAACTACAGAGCCACTAAAATATAAATGAGGTACTCAGGCCTGAAAATAAACTTTACGTTGGCAGAAGAAACGTAGCCGTTTGCTTCATTAGTCTTTTTTTTAAACCTCAGTGACTGAAAACTGATGACCTCTGACCTCAGATTCTTTGGTTTTTAGTGTTCGGCTCACTGTTGAAGAAAGCTGTGACGTGGGAACAGAAGCGTGACTTCGTAGGAAATGTTCTTGCTCAACTTCAACTTCTCTGAGCTGTTGATGACTTGAGCAGATGTGCGTTTCACATGTGACCCAGCTCCTGTTTGCTCACTGGGAGCTCCAGCAGAGTAAACAGCAGCTGCAGGAGCTGCTTCTGTTTACTGACTGATCTGTGTTTATATGTTCGGTCAGTACTGCACATCATTAATATTTTAACTTCTGTGTAGAAGCTAAAGTCAGACCCAAACCACTAAAATGGCATGTTTTCCCTTTATTTAACTCTCATTTATTTGTCCCCAAAATTCAAATAAAAGTGAGTGATCCATCCACGGATCCATGTTTTCGTGACCGTGGGAAGCTCGAGTACCCGCCGAGAACCCACGCAGACAACAACATGCAAACTGCACACAGAGCGACTGCAGCTGGCCACTGGTGCAGTGGTGCAGTGGTTAGCGCTGCTGGCTCACAGCGAAAAGGTTGTGAGTCCAGTTTCAGTTCTGCACAAAGCTGTGTGTCTGCTGCAGCGTGCAAACAAGGACGGTAACAGGATGTAGTGTGACGGGTGTTTAATCTGAAGATGCTCGCCTTGAGCTGTGTGCAAAGGTCCACGTGTTGGTCTTACCTTAGATAAGCTTTCTGTTTGCGTTCTGATTTTATGTGTTTATGGCAGCATCACGCTGAGGAGACGAGTGGAAGCCTCTGTCTCCTCACTCCTCAGAACAGCGTGCCGTCCTGTCGGCGAGCCTGTAACGCCTGTTTGCTGCCGTCCTGTCATTTACTGCCATCTTGTGGCCACTGTTGGTTACTGTCTCTGAACACTAGCTTTGACAAAAAAAATTGATGTCTCTAATAATGAAGTTTTTTGGGGGGTGACAGTCATGTCAGGTAGGTTCAGACCTGACCCGACTGAAGACCTCAGTTTCCCTTCTCACTTCCCTCTTAATCGCTCTCGCTCGCCCTCTTCTGGTGTAATGTCTGCTGAGCGCCGTTTTATGCACTTACGGTAAAGCAACATGTAGACGTCAGCTGCATAATAGGGCTGGGTATCGTCACTGATTTCTAGAATCGATTCAATTCCGATTCACAAGGTCCCAAATCGATTCGATCCACGATTCGATTTAATTCGATTCGATTCGATTTAAATCTGGGAAATTTTGACAGTCAGAAGTATAATTCAGATCAGAACATTTACATATTTTTGTATCTATAAAAAGGAAGCTGACACTCGCAAGACTTTATCAAAGGTGTGAGCATCACAGCAGACGCCTTTGTGTCAAAGTAGCTGAAGATAAAACAGAAAAACATGTAGGTGATTTTCCTGGCCTGGATTTTATAAAAATATTCTGCAGTACATCAAAAACGAAAGAAAACCATTAATTAATGAACATTACCTCTGACGTTACAGCGTTTTATTAGACACACGGCTAAGCATTTAGCATTTTGAATAATATTAAAAAGTTTAAATTTGCTCAGTATTGAACAGCAGAAATGAGGTTTTCTTTTCGGAAGAATGTAAAAGGG